TGACATCCTTACTGAAGCAGCCATCATTTTCTAAGCATTACCTATGTTGTTCCCCTCTCCCTCGATTGCCAACAGTGGAATAAAATTCATTAGCTAATGGGCTGATTTAGCTTTAAGTGCTGTTGAGAAACAAGGCAGTGGAATAAGAAGAGTCTAATAGTGCAAATTGATTCCACTTTTAGGGTTAGGGTTAGGGAATATGGGAACTGTATTTTATTGTAGCACCAGAGCTCTCTGACAGAGAAGGCTCGATGTCTCAGGGGAAAAAAACAATTCCCATGATTCTCTAGCACTAACCCTAACCCTAAAAGTGGACTCAATTTGCACTATTTCTGGCAGTCTGCAACCCCCCTAAACCTGCTTTGGTTTGGACTTGTTGTTGTTCCTGTTACAGTGGGCACTCAGTATCCACTGATATTTGGCAGAAAGGTTTCAGTAATCAATGTTTTAATTGACTACATTAGAAATGTATGCTATTATATGTAGAAAAAGATGCCAAGTATCAAGCAGCTACATAGAGAGGATCTGGGAGGCAGGGGGCGTCTTTAAGAATGTGCAGAGCTGGGCAGAGATGATACAACTTCATCCTTCACCAGGCCACATTAGGCACCTGGATGTATATGCACAGCCATAATAAATCAAATGATAAGTAAAGGAAGACACAGTGCTGTACTCAGAGGGGCCCAGATGCAGATAAGGGATTCCTTGGTATGTGGTTGGCATGACAACATGATATCTTAAGCATATTATAATGTATTCTGAACTTTGGACTCTCATTGCTTAGAATTCTATATGTTTAGAGTTTGAAGTGTCCAATAGAATGTTAAGTTTGGATTTCTTTGTTTGATGTAGTATAAAATAGACAGCATGCCCTTAGCAAAGGGCCAATGATCTGAATAATAATTCTGTTGGGGCTGCCGGCATAATAAATCTGTGTTTTTAAACTATTTTGAGGTCCCCTGCTTGCTTCAACTCTGCATAAAGAACCTTGGTTGGTGTGAGTTAATTTGCTTACAGTTTGTTTTTCCACTACAGTTCCAGGACACACCATGAATACAAAAATCCATGGATGCTCAAGTCCCATTAAATACAATGGTGTAGTAAAATGGTGCCCCTTATGTAAAATGGCAAAATCACAGATTTGTTTTGTGGAACACACACACACACACACACACACTTGTACCTCCACATTTGCAGTTTTGACTTTTGCAGATTTGATTATTGATGGATTTTATTAATATGTCCTCTCTAGGAATATCTAAGTCCTCCAACACAACTCTATGTTCAACTTTAAACTTGACATCCTTACAAAGGTTACACTGGAGGACCTAGAGAGTCCTAGAGAGGTGTTGTCTCAGGTAAAAACATAATGTATTTGTTATTTGCATTTTTTCCACATTCATGAGGGCCCTGTCTCCCTAACCCCAGCAAATGTGGAGGGACAAGTGTATATATATTGAATATTTTCAAGCCAAGGATGGTTGAATCCATGGATAAAGAATCCATGGATACAGGGGGACAAATGTATTTTTTTTTTGGGGTTAGAATTTTTTTTGGAGGGGGAGGTACCTCCCTCAATATATTTCACTGGGTTCAGTAGGGTAGCCATTTCAGTGCAAAGCTCCATCAGTAACCAGAGAGGGTTTCTGTGGGTGAGATTGGGGGAGTCCATAGCACCCAATACCCCCTTAGCATCCCTGCCAGGAAGCATTACCTCCTCGGGGTTAATTAATTTCAGTGTTCTGATTCAAGTATGGAATTTGGGCACTTTGTGATCTGTGAAGAATCATAGAATCATAGAGTTGGAAGAGACCACAAGGGCCATCCAGTCCAACCCCCCTGCCATGCAGGAACTCCCAATCAAAGCATCCCTGACAGATGGCCATCCAGCCTCTGCTTAAAGACCTCCAAGGAAGGAGACTCCACTACTCTCCGAGGGAGTGTGTTCCACTGTCGAACCGCCCTTACTGTCAGGAAGTTCCTCCTAATGTTGAGGTGGAATCTCTTTTCTTGCAGCTTGCATCCATTGTTTCAGGGGGGACTCTGGGGTGTCTATTGATTTTTCTTGGATTTTTCCTCTGGGGTTCTTTACTCCTTTAGCATGAGGACATTAATAATGTGTCTCTCCCTCTTACCATTACTGCCTCCTTTTGCCAATCTATGGAAGAAGGCTGGCTATAAAAGAAAAATGCTACACTGAATTTTGTTTTAGCATTCACATTGACTTTAATAGAAATGAAATGGATTGTGGGAAAACATATGGAAAGTTAGGGAAGGTGTATACTAGAATGAAAAGTCTAAACAGCAACCTTGACCACATTACAAGGATTTGCTTAAAACCACAGGACCAAGAACAACAACACTGCAAGCATAAGGCAGAAAAACTGAGGTATCTTTCATGAGGGGGGAAAAAACTTGACAAATTAGAAAGCAGATTCCTGCATTGTACACACACACACACACACACAAGCCCAAACAAATTCCTGTTATTATTGCTTCATCTGGAAATCTTGAATTGTGTATATTTCAAGATAAATAATAACTCATCTCAATTGTATTTCATTAGGTCAAAAAGTTTAAAAGCTCTCTGAGGTTTTTCCAATTAACACATGCAAGCTGCCCGTATTACCATAAATCTGTCTTAAAATAATAATTTTAGCTTCATCGCTGGCTGAGTAAACATTGTTTTCCAGTTTAATGGAACATGTCAGCTTTAGAAAATGTATATTGATTACATTTGGCAGACTTGAAACAAAGCCTTTCATATGTAACTAACATTGTCTTGTTTGTTAAATTTAATGTTTAACTTGTGCAGCATACTCTAATTTTTTTCAGTGAGTAATTTCTAGTGTTCTCCCATTGTCCACAATAATTCCAATGTCTGGGAGGTGATAACTGACTGATAGGAAGCAGAATTGTAAGATTTTATATAGTACTTATATAAAGATTTCATTTTTCCCCCCAAACAATGTTATGTGCATTGGCCTGGAGAAACTTAGTAAATAGAAGTACAGCTAAGTGAACACTTTTGTTAATTGTTTCAGCTGTAGGCCATAATACTAACATTAAGAGCTACAAAATGTGACATAGAACATAGCCACTTGTCAACACTGTCAAAACAGCAGAAACAAAGTCAATTATCTAATATATACAAGACCATTCTGACAGCAAACAACATTGAGTCTACTGAAATTAGCCATAATCCTAAAGGATGTAAAATGCAACCTTGTATTTTGTTCAAGAGCATGTAGTATTTCTCCTCTAAAGTCTGTATATATAGATTTCCACTCTATATTCATTTTTGCGCACATCCTATACTATAGAAACCCTCCAATTGTCTTGATTTGGCAGGGACAGTCCCAGTTAATCCTCTGTCATCTCAGTTTTCAGCTGTTTTTAAAATGTACCAATTCCTCTCTCCTCCTCTCATTTTCTCCCTTTGTCCTCAGCTTACTTCATTTGGTACAAACTGAGTTCAAAGTGCAAGTGTAATTTGTGCTCAATTAATTCATTAGGAGGAGGTTAGAATTTTGCCCTTCCCAAAATGCTCAGGCAAAAACAAACTGCTGCCTTGTCTCTTAACTTCTGCTATTTCCCCTCTTTAATATTGTTCGCCCTGTTGGCCACACTCTGATGTTGCTTGACCACCTGCATTCCATCTTACATCTCTGAAAGGTTGGAAGATATGAGACCAGAGCTTGGAAATTACCAGTTTCAAAACAAATAATATTAATTCAGTTATTGATTGACATAAATCATTGTAAGGATTTTAAGGACTCAATATGTGTTGTATTAAATGTTCTCAGTGACTTAGGGGACTTCATTGTATCTTGTAAGATGTCCAGATGTTGTCTCCCCTGCCCATTTCTAAATAAGGCTCCTACACTGCAGAGTGGCAGAAAATCTTGCCACTATTGCTACCTCCAATGGGAAATAATTAACAAGGCAGCATGACAAGAAAGCAAGAAATCTTCCTTTTCCAGGGCAGACCAAATTGGTTTTCCTTGTATGAAAATTGTTTCTACGTCTTAATGATTTTGGTAGTACCTTTCTCTATTTTTGCCAACTCAACAGATTTTTGCATCCCTGGGCTCTGACATCTTGAGGCATTGTGACCATTTGGATAAATACATGTGCTCACTTATGTACATTTCATTCTCCCAAGATCATAACTGAAACAGAATATGCTAGTAGTAAGAATCACAGTGGAGGGAAATGCTAAAAATGTGCATGAGACTTTTGTGGAATCAGAACCTAAAGTGTCCAGATTGCCGCACTTGGTGCTAGTGAACAAACACACTGATGACAGCAACAATGATGTTTCTGCCTTCATCATGGAATTAGCTGAAACCTTTTACATTAGAAACTTTATTTTGGAAATGTTTCTGTCTCATTATCCCATGGACCAACTGTCTGACACATCTGTTAGCGTAATAATCTTACAAACTGTGGGCAGTGCAATTTTTATAACGGAGAGAGATTCCCAGATACAAGGCAGACCAAAGTAGCTATGTAATGCAAATCAACAATCTGTATTCTCTCAAGCTGAAGTCCAAGCTGTTATTGTAGCAACAGGGAGCTAAGGCCATCCTGCAGAGAAAATTTGTTCCAGCATACTATTCTAGGACACACTTGCTACTGTTGGAAGCATATTCTACAGAACTAAGAGCATTTGGTATGTTGCTAAAACCACAGGGATACAGTACCACCAATGGAAAAGGCAAGACAATGAAAAAGTAGATGGAAACAACTTGTTTCTGTGTGTCCTTCAAATATTTTCATTAATTTATTTTTCAAATTTCTGAAATCTATATTTCTATCATATTTCTTACCCATCAGTTTTAATAATAATGTTACAACACAATGTGATGCACAGCTTGGTGTTTCCATCTTGTGGCAACACAAATGTGAACCTATAATGGGATTTGCCTGGCAAGATTTGTTAAGAGGTGTTTTGCCCTTCTTCTTTCTGAAGCTCAGACTGTGACAGTGAGTTTCAGTGGCAGAATAGAGATTTGAACCCTGGTCTCCAGAGTTGTAGTCCAGTGCTCAAACCACTGCACTATGCTGGTTCTTCGATGTACCACTAGGTAGAAATACCATATATATTCAACTGTAAGTCGACCTCATGTATAAGGCAAGGGCAGGTTTGGGGGCCATAATTAGGGATTTTGATATGACCCATGGATAAGTCAAGAGTAAAACTTAGGGGCATGTAACAAATAAAGAAAAACAGTGTCAAAGAACATACAAAATTCCAGCAGACATTGTTTGTGCTCATACTAAAGGCTGGATGGATGAGAGAATAGTGGGGTCAGTGCTTCCAGGGCAGATTATGCTCTTTCCTTTCACCAGGAGATGGTTCCTTTTTAAAATAAGTGTTAAAGTGTTAAAATACAGTACTTACATTGGCCTGTGGATAAGTCAACACAGGTTTTTGGGGTCATATTTTTGACTAAAATTTCTAGACTTATACATGAATATATATAGCAAATCCCAATGATGCTTAGTTCGTACATATATTCTATGGACTATAACTTGATTCATTATCCTGTTACATTTATCAGTCACTGACACATAATTTATATCTAACCCAAGAGCATTTCCTCTAACCATATTTGTTCAGCTGAGTGCATATTAGTCCCATTGTTTGGAATATGATTAAATAACCTCTGAAAATAACCTGAGAATTAGATTTACAAGCTGTACTGAAATGACATCAGCAGTGTGGTGTCTTCAGCTGTACCTTGCTATCTGAATATGATGCTCATCACCAGGTTGGTGTTGCTTTGTTTGTGCATGGTCCTTGTGACAATGATTGACCAAGGTACCAGTATGCATCCAGTTATTACAATCAGCCTGCTAGTTACTTATTAAAAATTCCAGTGATGTTTTCTTAAACCAGGCTCAGGAAAAATACCATCAGCCTCCAATTAATAAGAATTTTACAAATCTCAAAATTCTTTTCTGGACTGGGCTAAAATCCAAGCCAAAGCAGAATACCTAGACTGCCCCCTGTTCACCTTACTGAAGCTTCCCAGTTAGATCACCAGTTTTCCTTGTGGCAGGAGAGGAGGGGAGGAACTCTTTTCTTCTTCCACCCCCTCTGTTTGCATCGTCTACATTTATGCTGTACTTTTACTTAATGTTTACATGTATAGGAAAATGAACTTTAATATATCTCACATCATACACTTTGCCTATTTCAAAGAAGTCCTAGTAATAAATTCTGTCTCACTTTGGCATGCAAAAAACTTCTCTGATAAATTTAGCTAATCATACCAAAACTTCAGTATAACATTTCATAAGCATGTTGATGACAGAAATATCAATGACATTAGATGGCAACTCTATCATAGTTTCTGGTATATGCAGACTATTTAAAAATATTATGTGACTTTTGCTCTGCTAGAGGTTGTGCAAATATCAATTCTACTCTTTATATGGTTCAATAATTCCAGTGCAATTGTCTCCCTCAAATATGAACATCACAGATCCACTTTTGTAATCAAGTTACATTAGAAACTTAACAGGAAAACTAATTTGGATTAATCAATAATAGCAACAAAGAAAATAGAAACATGGGACAAACAGGATCAAGGCAGTGCAAATTTATAACTTTTTTAAAAAAATCTGATCATAATGGAAGATTTTGTTTATCACTCTTGGAAATAGTACAACTCACTGATTTTAATTTCTTCTCTGTTCTGTTCAGAAATGATAGTTCCCATTGTAACATCATTGTGCTATGATATATTTCTCCAATAACAATAAATATTTGTCTGCACTCAGATGTGCCATTAAAGCATACACTTTTAAAAACCTCACATTCTAGATACTGATATCTGTCATTGTTAACAGCTGTCAGGTCAACTTCAACTTAGAGTGACTCTATGAATGAGAGACCTCCAAGTCAAAAAGCCTGTTTGACATGAGAGATTCTATCAGCAGCACTGCAACAGACAGTATAGTCTCTTTCCTCTCAGAAACATGCAAACCCACCACCACACAAAGGTAATGCCATGGTGGGATATACTGATTTATAGAATGGAATAATATGTATTACTTTGTTTGCATGTTTGCTTAAACTGCAAGATTCCCAGACTGTTCTTCTAATCATAAATGTCAGCTTGAAATGTCCCTGCAACACAGCTCAAGGGACCTCATGAACAACCATATCCCTTCTGGTATAGCTTTTCTCCAGCTGTTTAATCAGTATAGCACAATTTGAAGACAACTACTTCCTTGGTTTTCTTCTTCCCAAATGTCATTACTGTGTTCCATTTTATATACTTTAATTGCCCTAGCAAAATGCCTCAGTACTTCAGATGTTCTCACCCATCTCTGTGGAGATTCTTCCCAATTAAAGATGTAAATCTTCGCTAATTTCATTTTCGAAGGATGCGAGAAGTTATTTTATAAATTTTCTTCAAGCTAGAAGAATATTTTTGAAAACTGTGCTGTTTTCGAAGACGATTTGCAATTCTGAACTTCTTGTGTGCAAAATTCACAAATTTTTGGTGCCCAAAACATTTTCTGCAGATGTTACAGTGTATGTAAGCATGACAATTATTTACTGAAAGCTAGCCTAAAAACATATATTTTACATAAATATTATTTGCTGCACAGAAAATGTTGTTTACTTTGCAAACACACACACACACACACAACCCAAACCCAATGTGTGAACTTTGTGCAAAGTAAGTCATTAACTGTAAAGTGTCTCATCAGTCCAGGTTTCTACTTAAGCAAGGTTTCCTAACACTCAGGACATATATTTTAAAACCTTTTTTTCCCATCTGTATTCTCAGTTGATTGGTCATATGGGCCTCTCAGCATGCATTAATCGTTTCCACTTTGAAGCTGTAGAACATCTATATGAAGCCGCTGGGTGAGATTATTCAGAGGTATGGGGCTGGGTGTTATCAGTACGCTGATGATACCCAGATCTATTTCTCCCTATCCCGATCATCAGCCTCGAATTCCGATGGCGTCTCTCCTCTCAATGACTGTGTTAAGGCAGTAATGGGCTGGATGAGGAAAAACAGATTGAGATTAAATCCAGACAAAACGGAAGTGCTCACGGTAGCGGCCCTGAAACCAAGGATTGGCTTGCAAACTCCAGTCCTGGATGGGGTCACACTCTCCATGAAGGACTGTGCTTGCAGTCTGGGGATGCTCCTTGATTCATCGCTTCAGATGACTAGTCAGGAGAATGCGACGGTCAAGAGTGTCTGTTATCAGCTTCAGCTGATACGCCAACTGCACCCTTTCCTGAAAGTAAGGGATCTTGAGACCGTGGTGCATGCACTGGTAACCTCCTGTCTGGACTTCTGTAATGCGCTCTACATGGGGCTAACCTCATGCTTGGTCTGAAAACTTCAGTTGGTACAAAATATGGCAGCCAGAGTGGTCTCAGGTACATTGTGGAGAGATCACATACCCCTGTGCTAAAATCTCTTCACTGGCTTTTATCAGTTTCCGGGCCCAGTATATGGTGCTGGTTATGACCTTTAAAGCCCTAAATGGCTTGGACCCAACTTATCTTCAAGACTTCCTCTTCCCATATAACCCCTCCCCCGCACACTCCGATCCTCTGGGAGGAATCTGTTACAGCCAATGAAAACTAGGCTGTTGACAACCTCCCAGAGGACCTTTTTGGCCACCGCTCCCAAATGATGGAATGGCCTGCCGAATGAGATCCATCAGTTGACAACTTTAAGCAGCTTTAAAAAGGCTGTTAAGACGAATCTCTTCCGGCAGGCCTTCCCTGATTAGATTCCTTGGCCTCAGGAGTCCCCTTATCCCTCCTTTATTTCGACTACAATTACTGCCCCACCTACTATTTGTTTGTTTGTCTATGGATTGTTTTTTAATTGAGTGTCTTAACCATCTTGTTTTAACATTAAAATTGTTTAATTTTCTTTTAAGGGGTGGGAGGGTTGAGGGATTTTGGACTGTATTTTAATATTGTATGAAGTTTTAAACTGTTGTGAGCTGCCCCGATTGCTTGACAGAAGGGTGGGATATAAATTATTATTATTATTATTATTATTATTATTATTATTATTATTATTGGAAAACTGCATTCACTTGTTGTTGCTGTTATCATTATCATAATCATCATCCCACCTCTTCCTATGGTCCAAGGCAAGGAAAAACAAATTAAACACATAACAGGTAAAAAAAACCCATAAAAACCAAGCATATCTAAATCATGAGCAGTGTATTCCTATGCATTTGAAAGTAAATTTTACACAGCTCAATAAAACATACCCCAAGTAAGTGTGTCTAGAATTGCAAACTGATTCTCTTGCTCCACTTACAGCAAGTGGCATAAAGTAAGTAAGTAAGTAAGTAAACTTTATTTTTGTACCCCACCTTTT